AAACAACACGCTGGGGGAGTACCTACATGATGATTAAGCGTCTGCTCGAACTAAGAGGCTATCTTGAAGACCTCGATAATGAACTTGTTTCACTAACTGAAAGCCAGTGGAACCAGGTGACAGTTAGAAAGTCTGCTCTGTCACCCTTTTGCTGCTACCAAGAAACTGCAAGCTGAGGATCTAACACCTGGTACATTTTTATTGGAGTGGAAAAGGTTGCTATACCAGTTGAACAAAAGTGGAGGATTAATCGCTGAGGGCATTGTATCTTCAATGAAAAGAAGAGAGAATGTATTGCTGGATAACAAAATCTTGTTAGCTGCTGTTTACCTTGATCCCATGAATAGAATTTTGTTGGACAATGATCAAACTAGTAAAGGAAAAGAGGCACTATATGAAATAGCAGTACGCATAAAAGAAATGAAGTCACAAACTGAAATTCATGAACCTGAACAAGTTAGAAACATTGACAAGTCAAGTAGCTCAGATTCAGATTCAGCATCTTCAAACAAGGAAATAGACTTTGATTCCTACTTGGACACAATAGAACAAGCAAAGGTAAAGCGACATCGGAGTGAAAACGCAGCAGCGGTAGACATTAAAAATACGAGATTTCAGCAAGATTTCTTTGGTGCACTGATGGAAGTGGAGAAATTTGACCGGTCTTCAAAAGTGACAGTGGAAGAAGCCATACCTGCTTACCCAGAGATTGTAAAAGATGTAGCTGGAGCTGTGACAGCAATGCCACCCACTCAGGTCAGTGTAGAAAGACTGTTTTCTGCACTGAAAATAATCAGATCAGATTTAAGGGCTTCCATGAAGGAAGATCTGACTGAAGCTATTCTGTTCCTAAGAACAAATATATGAACTCAGGCATATTCATTGCAGTGATTCCACTGATCCCACTAATTTTCTTAAATTATTAAAAGAATTTATTTCCATTATATAAGCATTATTATGAATTTATTGTAGCAGGCACAGTATAGCACTATAATTTTGGACGATAGTCTCTTCTCTACCATTTGAAATTTTGAATTATATCAAATTTTGTTTCGTTGAAAACTGCACAGAGGCTCTCAGCTACAAAACAATTAGCTACAACCTGTTTTTGGTGAGATTAAGGCAAATTTAATTTAATAACTTAATCATGTAAGGTTTATCCATTTTCCTTAATAAGGTATTCATTTCTTTAATGTACATAAATATATAACTTTACTTTAAAAGGAATGGTAGGATCATCATTTAGATCCACATCAGATTATGAGCTTAAACAAAATTCATATGCTGAGATCGAACTTTTAGATATACATGTAAATGGTGTTTTCTAGTTAATATCTTGAATTCTTAATAAATTTATTTTTCTTTTGATTGAAACTTTGAAAGTCAAGCCTATCATCTTTTTGTAGTTCTTAAATATCGTCCAGATCATTAATAAAGCTGTAGCAGTATAGCCACGGTGTTTTACTTTTTACCTACGCAGGTTATAACATACAAATTACAATTAGGATGGTAGAAATAGTTGTTACAAATAGGCCAAGGAGTCGGAGTCGGAGTCGGAAGCATAAAAATTTGAGGAGTCGGAGTCGGAGGTTTTGTCTTCGACTCCACAGCCCTGGTTTTTACGCGAGATTATGGAGGAAGGACAGTACACCGACGACCAGGTGTTTAACATGGACGAATCTGGTTTTTTTTGGAAAAAGCTACCTTCCAAGACCTTCGTTGTGAAGAATGCCAGCAAGATTCGGGGCCGGAAGTTGCAGAAGGAGCGCATCACCGTCCTGTTTACCACCAATGCCTCCAGTACCTGTAAGCTCAAGTTATCGGTGATCCACACAGCACGCAAGCCGCACGCCTACAAGAGCATGGACATGACCAAGCTAAATGTCCTCTGGCTGACCGCACGTAAGGCGTGGATGTTCTCTACACTGTCCCTCTCCTGGTTTGATGACTGTTTCGTTCCTGATGTGAAGAAATTCTGTGAGCAACAGAATGTGCCATTCAATATTTTGTTGCTGCTGGACAACGCACCAGGACACTCGCCCCTACTGTTAGATCGTCACCCCAACGTAAAAGTGGTCTTCCTTCCTCCCAACACTAAGTCTATATTACAGCCCATGGACCAAGAGTTAATCTGTAATGTAAAAGCTGCATTCTCTACTAAAAAATTCAAGCTCCTGAACGACTACACCAACACCAGGGAAGAGTTGCGTAACCTGAGTGACACCAACACCGATAGCAAGAGCGAAGACGACGAGGATCAACAGTTGGCAGAGCAAGAAGCACTTTTAAAACAATTCTGGAGAATATTCAACATCAAGAAAGCTGTGGACTTCTTGGTGGAGGCATGGGATCAGCTGTCTGTAGCAACTGTTCGTCACGCATGGAGACATGTGTTGTAAGGCATTCCGGCCGTTAGGCAGAGTCAATCTGTGACTGGTGAGGTTCAGACTGTTGCAGTAGCAGTGGACCTTGCCAGAGAAGCTGCGCAGAGTGTTACAGCTGCAGGCTTCTCCGAGACCACCAACGACGACATCCTGGAGGTGATAAGGGATCCTGATGTGACTACCGACGAGATGGTAGATGATGATGACGTCAGTGAAGAGACAGGTGGTGCGTCATCCCAAGAAGAACGCCGCTTATCCCATAGTAATGTTATGGGTACCACCAAGTGTATCAAGAAAGTCAAGGTCCTCCTTTCCGACGACCCTGACGCTAACAGGTATGAAATCTTCACTACCCAGCTGTTGCAGACTATGGAGCCCTACATCAAGGTTTATCACGACAACATAAACACCAGCCGTCAGCAAAGCATAACAGAGTTCTTCACCCGCAACCCACCACAGCCAGCCCAAGCCAGTGATAGTGACAGAGGTAGAGACAGTGATGATGACTTTGAGGGATTTGTCAGGGAGGCCCTGACAAGTGTGGATGACAGTGATGGTGACTCACCTGAGGGCCAGTAGCCTGCCCTCTGCCTCGGAACCAGCCTCCATTCCCGTACGCCGACCCATCTCTTCTACTAACGTAAGTGTTAACCCCAACCTTGTTTTTTTCTAACCTAACCTTCAGTTTATTGACTGTTCCTTTCTATATTATGTGTAGGTGAATACCATCATAAAGTTAAGATGTTATTTTTAGTAAAACATACGTATTGTGTCGGGAAAAAGTGGAGTTTGGGGGTCGGCCCGGTCTCTATTTCAATTAATCCCATATGTTATGTTGTTCACTTTACGCGTTTCTCACTTTACGCGGGCCGCGTAAAGTGAGGGTTGACTACTGTATATATATATCGATAGATCGATCGCTCGCTATATATATATATATATATATATATATATATATATATATATATATATATATATATATATATATATATATATATATATATATATATATATATATATATATATATATATATATATATATATATATACAGGTTGTACCTCTCTAGTCCGGCATTCTGTGGTCCGGAAACTCCCGTGGTCCGGAACGATTTTAGTTTGTCCAATAGGTAGATAGGCAGCTTTTTTTTTTTTTTTCTTTTTTTTATTTCTCTGAATTATTATTATTATTACAGGAGTATTAAATTTTTGCCCCTCAGGCCCCAATGTGGGTCAGTGACCTATGCCCGGGTGGGCTAATCCCCTTAAAAAAAAAAAAAGCCGCGGGAAATTAAGGTTTGTTTACATCCGGCAGTTCGGCTGCTCTCTCTCTCTGCTTGTCTATACAGAGTACAACATTTAACCCTTCAATATATATGAGCAGTAAATAAGTGTTGCTTTCATATTCTTATGTAGAGTAATGACGATATATTTTCACATGTGCGCACTTACATACGAGCAGTCTCACTTTTTTTTTACCATTAATGGTTAGCTACTTATATTGTTCCATTTATTAACATTAAATAACATTACAGGTACTTCAAGCAACCATATTCATTTTTTACATTAATTTTACTACAGCTAAACTCAGGGTCTTATTTTCTTCAGTTTTATATGTAGAACCAATCAGTCACTGGTTTCGTAAGCTTTAACATAAACAATGCCGGCAGCCGTCTCGTCTCCTCTAATATTCCATTTCTTATTAATAAATTGTTTTGTTAATTTTGCACACACGTACATTAATTCAATAAAAACAAATTCAGAAACATTAATTAAAATATATATGAACAGTAAATAAGTGTTGCTTTCATATTCTTATGTAAAGTAATGACGATATGTTTTCACGTGTGCGCATGCGCACTTACATACTGTATGCGATCTCTCTTTTTCTTTACCATTATCGTTAGCTACTTCTATTGTTCCATTTATTAACATTAAATAAGATTACTTAAAACAACCATATTAATTTTACTACAGCTACAACCAAGGTCAACCATATTAATTTTACTACAGCTACAACCAAGGTCTTATTTTCTTCAGTTTTATATGTAGAACCAGTCAGTCACTGGTTTTGTAATCAACGAAAACAATGCTGTGTCATTTCCTTGTGTGTTTTAATATTCTACGTATTATTAATGAATTGTATTGCTCATTTTGCACACATAAACATTAATTCAATAAAAAAGACATTCAGTAATAAACAATAATGAATCTTTTGTACATAAGAGAAATGACGCTGTTTACACGATTATGCACGTCGTCTGCACGTTGGCAGGCCGTTCAAACCCGTTGAAATTCAAGTTTCCGCCGTCAAATTTTTTTTTTATTTATTTTTTTGTGTGTTCCAATTAAATACGTTAAGAATTAAAAACTCGCGAAATTTGAGAAGCTACTATACGACATTTAACCCTTCAATATGTCTTCAAAGAGACCATGACGCAGAGAAAGTAGTGCTAGTGCTTCCAGGCATAAGCACAAGTCACTATCTATCCAGGAAAAGGGTGAATTTCCATGGTCCGGCACCGGTCAGGTCCCGAGGTTGCCGGACTAGAGAGGTACAACCTGTACGTAATATCCACTTATGTATGCAGAGTGTAAAATAAAAAAAAATAATAATAATTAAGGCATACAGTATGTTATGATTTCTCCAAGGTATATGTTCAGAAATTTCCAGAAACTGCATTTTTTCTGGTCTATGAGTAATTTGGGGATTTTACGGAAAGTCTCCAAATGTTTCTGTTCTGAGTCTGCTAACCAGTTCCGAGGTTAGGTGAGAAAGCAAATTCCAAAATCTTCCCTGAAACCGGAAAAATTCCCCATCAATCAAATGATACCAAGATTTATTTCTTCAGTATTGGTGAAAGGTGAAGTCAGCTGTATCTCTACCTGTAAGTGAAAATAAAGTCATTAATATTGTGTTAGTTAAATTTGCGAATTCTGAAACATCTATATTTATGAGGGTCAATATTTATGAGTTTCCAACATCTAAATATTGAGGGTAATTTTGTCTGTCAAAAAAAAAAAATAAAAAATTCCAAAGGAAACTCAGATTTGTTTGGTTTGATATGCAACACACTAAAAAAATTATTGTTTTTTTTAATGTACTGTAGTGTATATTGTTAATGGTGATTTCAAAACTTTGAGCCTTTTTTTTGGAGAAATTCATAGAACAAAAATTATAACCCCTTTAAAATTTTAATGATCTATATAAAAATGTTAACCTAACCTAACTGGAAACTGACTTAACTATCATAAAATAAGGTATTCTGTCTTTCATATTTTAAAGGTTGGATTAAGGACAAATTCACTTAAGTTAATTTCTGGTTACAGTTAATTAGTCAAGTCTGACATATTTCTGTTGTCATCATTAGAATGTAAGTACAGTCGGCCCTTCACATACGCGGGTTTAGCATTCACGGATTCGCAAATACGCGGATTGCCCCGCCGGAGGAATATTCTGTACATTGAAGTAATTGAAGTGCATTCAAATCGCGCGCCATTCAACTCGCGAGCGGCACCGAACACAGGACACCGCCCGCTCCCGCAACCTCACACACACACACGCATAGCTCTCCCTCACTCAGTCAAGTCTCGCTGTAACCACGCTTGTGTTGACATCAGCATTGTAGTTGCAAAAATATTACATTTCCGTGAATGTATTATATCAAGCACAGTATGAATAGAATATCACTAATATAAGAGTATTTTAACCGAAAACTACTAAAAAAACGAGTAACATATCTTGAACATCGGAAGGCTAGGTAAAGTCTTTTGTTTTCATGTGGTTTATCCTAATTTACATTGAAATGCATTACGTTTCAGCAAAACTACTATTTATTTCTGAGAATATGGAAATGTAATATTTTGCTGAAATGACGTACGTATTACAGTGGAAAGTGACGAAAGCAATGACTCGCTTTCTTTCGTTCAAAAGATGTTACCGTAATCGCTTTTCGAATGGTTTTCAGTTAAAAAACTGTTGTATTACAATAATATTCTATCCTAATTCACTTGTGATGCAACAGTTTTTTTAACTGAAAACCATTCGAAAAGCAATTACAGTAACATCTTTTGAACGAAAGAAAGCGAAAGTCATTGTTTTCGTCACTTTCCACTGTAATACGTACGTCATTTCAGCAAAAATATTACATTTCCGTGAATGTAGTATATCAAGCACAGTATGAATATAATATCATTGTAATATAACAGTATTTTAACCGAAAACTATTAAAAAAACGAGTAACATCTCTTGAACATTCGAAGGTTAGGTAAAGTCTTTTGTTTTCGTCATGTATTTTATCCTATTTTACATTGAAATACATCACGTTTCAGCAAAACTACTATTTATTTCTGAGAATATATTCATTCAGGCACAGTTTAGGTAAAATATACATGTGCTGTAACATTTTTTTAATTGAAAACAATTCAAAAAACACGTACCCTCTGGCCCTGTTCAAGAAGACTGGGAGGAGCTGTTTGGTGCTAAAGACGATGACAAGGAAAATTATTTTGATGGATTTTAATGAAAATATTCAGAAAGACCCTGGCACTGTCAAGGAAAGTGGCTGCTGAAGGCTTCCAGGACATGGCAGAGGACGAGATTGGGGAGCCAATTGAAGAGCACGACACTGAGCTGACCGAAGAGGATCTACAGGAGTTAGTAGACTCAGGCAAGGAAGAGGAAGAGGAAGCGAAAGGGAAAGAGGATGAGGACCAAGAAGTAACGTTGGAGAAGTTGGGGGAGATGACCAGGAATATTGAGGCACTGAAAAACCTGGCCTATAGTATGGACCCCTCCATGGTGCGTGCCCTGAAATTCATGCGAGGGATGGATGACGTTTTCGCTCCATACAAAAACATCATGGAAGAAATGAATGAAAGAGACGACAACTCCCCATCACCATGTTCGTTGATCACCGAAGGAGAGATTTAACACCAATCACTGGCGGCAGTGAGGAAGCAGCTGAATCCACCATCGCCCCCACTTCACCACCCGTTATGGAATTGAATGTCCGATGACCCCCGTCCTGTCGCCGAGGATAGGAACTGTACAGTAAAGTGAAGTTTTTATCTCTTTTTTTTAATAGCTTTTCTTGCCATGTTTATTGTTTGTAAAAATGTACAGCACAGTACAGTTCAGTACTGTACATAGGAAGTGGAGGTGCAGTTATTCACAAAACATTTGTGTTTGTTGTCGGCAGTAGTGACGGGGAGGAGGTAGAGGTGGAGGAGGGAGCGGAGGGAGCGAGTTGGGAGGAGTGGTGAGGTAACCTTGGACGCAGGAGCAGGGACGAGTGGAGATGCCAGCCAGTATATTTCGGGTGTATTAATTGTTTTGATAGCTATTTTTGCATTTTAATATTAAATACTGTACATTACGTTTCAACAAAACTACCATTTATTTCTGAGAACAAAGAAATGTAATATTTTTGCTGAAATGATGTACGTATTACAGTGGAAAGTGGGATAAAATTGTGACGCAAGCAATGACTCACTCTCTTTCGTTCAAAAGATGTTGCCGTAATCGCTTTTCGAAAGGTTTTCAGTTGTGGGATTATAAGGCTAATGATAGGATAGAATATTATTGTAATACAGTACGAGTACAGTACAACAGTTTTTTAACTGAAAACCATTTGAAAAGCGATTACGGTAAAATCTTTTGAACAACGAAAGAAAGCGAAAGTCATTGTTTTCATAATTTTATCCCACTTTCCACTGTACATTAATATGTACGTCATTTCAGCCAAAATATTACATTTCCATATTTATTTCTGAGAATATATTCATTCAGTCACAGTTAAGGTAAAATATACTTGTGATGTAATATTTTAATGAAAATACGGTTTCGTAGTTTTCTTTTGTATCAAATTTAATTAACAAAGATTGATGTTTCAAATGTAATGAACAAAAATTTATGTACAGTATCTATAAATAAATTTGAACAAATGAATACTTTGTTTTACATCGTCCTGTGTATACCATACCATGGATTTGGCTACTTTGGGCTCGCTATGATGACGCAAGAGACTGCCCTGGCGACTGTCCCGATACTCACAGCTAGTGGTGCGTTGGTGCGTCGTTTCCATTGTTTACTGGTAAATATTTTTCAACCTAACGAAACTATCACCCTTTTAGAGGTCGACCCCCAATTTTTTTGCAAAATAATTTGGTCTTAAAAACTCGAACTACGCACAGGTATATACGGTAAATAAGGACATGGGGGGCCAGGGTTTTTTTTTTGGGGGGGGGGGCAGCAAAAGTACACGGATTTTTAACATTCACGGGTATCTCTGTTACCTAACCCCCGCGTATGTTAAGGGCCGACTGTATATCACATTTATTGAAGATTCATAATTTCATTATCTTTTAATATTCAAGAATTGTTATATATAAACAATTAACGGTAAAGGGAGTAATACCTGTGATTACTTTCTACAATTATTACATCTAGCTATAATTGAGTGGAGCATCAAGGTGAGTTAGGTACGATACAAGGAGTTTAAAGATGAAAATGTATTACAGTCTCTCCTCGACTTACGACGGTGTTCCGTTCCAACGACCAGGTCGTAATACCTGAAATATTGTTATTAAATATTATCATCAATGACTTCTTTGGGTTTTAAACAATTTGGTGCTAATTTTTTCCTCTTACATAAAGTAGCTTTAGTGTACAGGGTGAAACATCTATCATGAAGTGATTGTCTTTAGAACTTTACGGAGTCTGAATTTGTAAAAAAACAAGACTAATGTTTTTGATCTACTCTTAATCAATTTGGTAAAAAATGAATGTTTAGGTCATCCACCTACTTGGCATTTGAAAAAACATAATTTCAATGTCACCAAACCTAGCCTAACCCAACTTAACTAATCTAACGTAACCTAACAACTGGTAAAAATTGGTCAACTTAAAATCATTAAATTCGCTGGATGGCCAAAAGATAATAATATCATCAATTCTATTTACTTTAGAAGAACTTATTCATTTTTGTTGAAATCATGGACATACTGTCAATGGCAAAGTTAATTAATATCACCACTCCAACTGTTGACCCAAACAAGTCGTAAAGTAGTTCTTTCTTGTAATACATTGAGTCACTAAGGGAATAAAAAAATAAAACATGAATTTAGGTCACTGAATTTATCTTATTAGTAGCAAATTGTGGTTAAACTGATACACAAATGAAACATGCCTGGGAAGTACCTAGCACTAGTTACCTGGCATATTTAGCTAATAAGTAATTATACTAAGGAAATAATTATTTTGGTAGTGCTGGACGGTTATTAATTGCGCTCATTACGAAAATTGGGTCGATATTAATTCTGATAAAGGATGTCCATCGACCATCACGGATGGACCAGTTTGGATTCACCTGGCATTGGTTACCCGGCATAATTGGACTTATTAAAGTGTGAAATTTATGCTACAAAGTATTTATACTAAGGAAATAATTATTTTGGTAGTGCTGGACTGTTATTAATTGCCCTCATTACGAAAATTGGGTCGATATTAATTCTGATAAAGGACTTCATTCACCATCCCAGAGGAAGCTGTTCTCACCACTCTTCAAATAGACCATTTACGACTTTTTTTTTAGTTTAATTTGATTTCAATACATTTCTACACATAAATTAGTTGTATTAGTTATCTTAAAGGCTTACCTTTTATGATGGTTAGGCGAATTTGGAGGATATAAACGGCGATGAGACAAGTAGAGGCTGGCGGCATTTTTCGTACACAAACACTGGCCGCTTTTAAAAAGAACAATACAATTCTGCATGTGCTGTTCTATATGGAGTATATCGTATAACAAATATTATTCCTTTGCAGATTTATACATTTTATGTCCATCCAAATCAATTTTCTTTCTTTTGATTTCAAAAATAGT